TATATATATATATATATATATTGTCCAAATGTGGCTCATTCAAAAAACTTCATTTAAAGATTTAAATAAGAAAATTTGACAGCTATACTTCACTTTGTAGGACCAATATGAGCTCTGAATGAGTTTATACTGATTGGGTTCAAGCAATGACCATATGCGATGCGGCTGATTTAGAGCATTGTGGTCTTTAACTGTAATCATACCCTGACTCACACATAATGTAATCTAAATTAGGTGGCCTCTAAATGAATTAGTAATGAGGGGTATCAAACGTAATTAAGTATTTTTAAATGTTTAAAAATTCGTTTACTCTTCATCAACAGACTTAAAGTGGGCATTACCTACCATTCAAATCACGGCATAGAGAAATAGAGTATATCTATAAGTTTTGTATATGGACTCATAAAGTAAACAACAGTGAAATATTCAACAAAATGAAGCGGCAGTCAAATGCTATCTATTGAGAGGAGAATACATGCAAATATAAAGTCAGCGCGTGCAGGATTGCCAGAATATTCTCAGACTCTAACCTGGTACAATAAAATTTAATTAAGTAGGTCGGTCGCTAGTGCGTTCCGGATTGTTTGAAACTAAATATTCTCTAGAGAGTAGCCGGCATACACAAAGCGTATTCCGGATAATAAAACAGACGTCCTGGTAGAATACACAAAATATTGGCATAACTACAGTTATAGACATTAAGGTGCCCTAGCCCCAATTATATCTGGTCTAGTTTGGCTTGACTACTGTGATGGATTATACAGAAAAATTTATCAACATTCAAATATTAAACATGCTAGCTATGAATAAATAAAGAGCCAAGACTATGTTCCAAATAAATTTTAAAAAATTGTATATAGAGACCGGAAGTTAAAATGAAGCTACTCTCTGATGATCCCGCACAAATCTAATAGTTGAAAATTAAGTTTTAGTGCACTTCTAGGTATACGCAAAAAATAAGAGCTCGGCTCAAAAAACATGCGATTACAACTTTTATTACTGATATAAAGTTATTAGAACCAACTTCCATAAGTTGCAACTCTGTGCTAAAGATGGCGCCTTTTAATGACAAACCCGGCAAAACGTTGGAAATGTATCAGGTCGACGGCCAGATGATGAAAATTATCATGCATGGCAGGACACAGAACTGGTTATGTTCTAAAACGTCTTCCTGTCGCTCTGACCAAGTTATGAAAGCAAGGTTAATGAAACACAATGCAGCTAAAAGAGATCGCGGATAAACGTAAGGCAATACCATCGTGGTTTTTACGTATACGACAAAATCAAATTCTTATTCGATTAAGGCATTAAGTATATGCAATATTATAGGATGGTCTAATTAATAACCATTGAAAGGAATTCTCAAATCCTTCAAAGTTACATATTTTAAATGTATCGGCGAACTGCAGAAACTTAGAGAGGGATGCTTGTCCAAGGCAGTTACTTCTGAGTCAATGAATCGTCGTTTTAACAACTCCGTCTTTTTTTATTTAAATTAAGCCATGAAAAAGGAAAAGATCGTAGAATATGAGAGGAGGACAGCGTACCAGAAAACCAAACTCAATGCAGGAGACTTGGCTCTGAATCAGGCACCAGACCGCCCAGAACAAATGAGAAAAGAGGGCGCCGTAGATCGTCTCCAGCAAAAGCAGGCGTTCCTCTTCTGTCAAATGGTCGTCATCTGTTGAGATCTCCTCGTCCTCTTGATCCTGACGAGAGTAGGCTGCGTCGATGTGGCTGGCATCACAAACATCACTGGCACTGACAAAAACCACAGAGCTTGAGCTGCTGCTACTACCACCATTCAAAGAAGCTGTGATAACCGGCCTTGCAGGCGAGCGTGGCGAAACGGGTGATGCAGGCGGCTCCGTAGAATTGGGTAAAGAACGGGTATGATGCATGAAGTTCTGTGATTCTTCTCGCCGATGGCGCTGATCCGGAGTCAGTTGTTGTTTCTGCTGATAGTGATTATGACTGTGGTATGGCGCATGGCTATGCTCAAGCTGTCGAGAAGGGGAGTGTTTAGCATGATTCAGATAGCAGGAATATGGCTCATTTTTAGGACAGTTCGTCTTAAGTTCTTTCATGCGGAGATGGGAGCCCCTTCCTATAATATCGTAGCTATCAGGAGGCCTTGCAGTGGCCTTCTCAGCACCGGTTGCAGGGTCTTTAGTGGCCGGCTGGTCGCCCTCAGCTGGACTGGCATGCCCTGTCATTAACCAGGCGGGAGAGGAATCAGCAGTTCGTGGCAAGCCAGCCAAGAGGCCGGAACCAACTTGCGCAGACAAATCAAGAATGGCCTGTCGAGACTGGCCTAGTTGGGGCCTGGGGCCCTCAGAGCCTGTGCGCGTTTGGCTCAGCAAAGGCCGTTTTAGAAGGAAGTTTTGATGTTGTAAGTAGTGACGCCAGAAAGCGAGCTGATTAAGAAGATGCGTGATTCAGTAGAGGGAAAATATAAATTAAGGAATTCATTTATTGAGGGATAGGCAGAAATGTTTTAGCCTAGCCATAAAGAACATATATAAAAATTACTACAGTGCATAAGAAAAAAAAGCCGAATAACTACAGGATACTATTTAAATGATTAGTCCCTCGTATTGCTCGCAACATGAGTAGTGCAATAACAAGCAATCCTAAAATTAATGCTGAGGCTAAGATGGTGCAAATAGGCATATAGAACCAACTAAAAGAAGATTATATAGTTATGGCAAAAAACAACTTAACTAGCCTAATTTTGCTGATAAAACAGGATAAAATAAATAATATTTTGTGAGCTACGTGATTTTCAGGTGAAAGTATTTTAGAAATGAGACTCACATTGCTCAAGAAGACAGAAAACTAGTATAAAGTTTCTATAGAATTTATTGTCCTCGATTTTTCTATTCGTTCGAACTGAATCTTCGGAAATTGATTTGCATCTAAATAGACGTGAACTTCACTATCCAATTAGAATTTCTCACAGGTTCGCCTATGATACTCAACTTATCTGAAGTCTATTTATCAATAGGAGAACACGCCTATCATCGCTCCGAATATAACTTAATTTTGAAATCGCTTAGTTACACAAGCACACTATAATGAAGCAGGGAATTGTCTGCTCTTGTGAAGTCATAGCAAGGAATAATTCTCATCTCTTTAGCTCTATCACCCTTCATTCCACAACAGATCTACATAGGGGATTAGAAATTCAAGCATCCTCCTTGTTCTTCTCAATAATGGACACAACATCAAAGAATCTCATGGTGATCGTTTGGTCAACTATGTTGTTCTACACTTAGGCAGAGAGACTACACTTGAATAGGGATATGAAAAGATAACATGCTTTATAGCTTTCAGCAAAGGCATTTCCTTTCAAGTTTCAACTATAAGCTTTTTCCCAACACTCTTGATATGTTTGTTACGGCTAGATTCCCATAGCAGTACAGTGCTGCAACAGATGTATTTGCCGACTCCTTCATCGAGCAATCGCGTCTTCTTAGTAGAGCCTTTGGTGATGCTGGTCATATAAAGCCAAGTGCACTTGTACAAATTTGTTCAAGTTAGTAGACAGTGCATTTCGTTGGGTAGGCCGTAAGAAAAATAAAAGCTCACAATCGTCAGAAATGACGAAAAATTTATAAGGAATAGTAAAACAGCCAAAATATGCTAAATTAATGAAAGCATACACAATGACTGAGAATGTATGCACTTAGTAAAGATTTAGATAAAGACTGGATAAAAACCTCTTAAACAACAAGTTACTTTAGTGCATAGTGAACAATGTAACTGGTCCAGGGAAGATTTTGAGAGGTCAATGAGGCCCCTGGATATGCTTATATCTACATAGCCTTAGGATCAGCAATCAAAGTTCATATAAGGAAAAACTGAGTTTAAAAAAAACTCTTAATAAAAATTGTGAAACGACACTCCATTTCAAAAGGAAGTCTTGTTGGAATAAATTCGTGATGGGGTCGTACTGGAAACCTAAGGAGGATTGTCGCGTAAGAAAGACTGTTGAATTATGCGAAGAAGTACTGTGCCCCCGTCCTGCAACCCCGATGAAATCGTCCTAAGCTTTCATTTGTACTATCGTGACAGATATTATCAGAGCAAGATTCCATATTTTATGTAACAGAGCATAAATAGTCTAAACCGAGAAAAGGTTGCCGGCTGCAACCATTGTCGCTTTTTTATACACATAACTTTGCGATCTTAATGAGGCCTCTCCTGGTTTGATGTGCTACTTCAATCTTGCTCTAAATGTTTGCAAATGAGTAATGTTTACTTCCCGAACCGAAACTGCGTTTGGTGTCAGCTGTTTCATTACACAAAAAACTGGCGTACGATCGCCTAATGTTGAATCATGATTGGGGTTGTGCTATTGTCTATTGTGTGTTGTGTGTTGGTAATGCTCATGTTATGGGTTGTATGAAAGTCTTGGCCACAAAAAGTTCCTACTTAGTTTTCTACACTCGTTCCGCTTATTCAGGACGTTGGCTATTTTTTAATTACTATTGCCTCCCTAATATCACGCGTTTGACGTAATATTCCCGTAACTCGCAAAACGTGTTTTGACAAGTTTATTGAGGATCCTGTATTGACCAAGTGTTCAGCGAGCTCAGATTTTTGGACACATAGACCAATCATGCTTCAACATTAGGCGACTGTACGCTAGTTTTTATGCGATGAAACAGCTACCACCGAACGCACTTCCGGTTCGGGAAGTAAACTTCATTAATTTACAAGCATGTAGAGTAAGGTTGGGGTAGCCAATGAAACCAGAAGAGGCCTCATTAAGATCGTGAAGTTAGGTCTATCAAAAAATAGACTAGGGTTGCAGCCCGCCACCTCTTGGTTTAGTAAATTTTGTCCTATTTCGTAAAGTATGGAATCTTGTTCTGATGATGTCTGTCACGATGGTACAAACGAAAGTTTAGAACTTTCTCATCAGGGTCACAAGAAAGTGAGCCAAGGACTCCTTCGCACAACTCAACAGTCTTCGCTACGCCGTAATCCTCCTCGGTTTCGGTGAGAACACATCACCAACTTTCCTATCGAAACCCAGTTTTTCTTCATATCTTCAAAGTACATACGATTTTCATTCTTTTCGGAATTCATCATTATATACAAAAACCAAGAAATCGTTGACTCGGCAAGTCAGTCACATTCACTTTTTGAAAGTTTTCTCTACCCGTAGAATTATACCTAGATTTTGTATTATTTCCAGACCTAATTTACCTTATAAGACTGAGACTGATATCTTGGACGTTTGCCATGATTTTGCTGATATTAGACTTAAGTAAAACATTGCAAAGTTACATTCGTCAATCAGAACTAAGACTAGACTTAGACAAATTTTGGCCGATGCTCTTTGTTCGGAAGACTTCCTGAAACTCCAGCCTATAGCGGATAGTTGACATAATAAGATTTTCCGACGGATTAGAAATAAACATTAAAGGAAATTAATAAATGTGGGTACAAGAATTAGCTCAAGGAAACGACCTACATCTAAAGAATTGAGGTGTAAGAATAGCCGTTGCCAAAAATGGTAAATCTGTCCGAAACCTCATTTGTCATTTCTACTGAGGCCCTAGCAAAGGGCTTAAACTTTGCATTTCCAAATGGTAAGGACTTAAAAGAGAAAATTTTGGTATAGGACTGATTATGTGGAGAAAAGGTTAGAGGCATTAGATGATGATACAACATATAGGACTATAATTATGGGCCCGACAGAAGGCCTTAAGGTCAGACTTAAGGGTCTTCTACAACACAGACAATAGAGAAGTGGAAAAGTGGGAAATAAATGCTCTTCTCCGCCGAGATGCTAGACACCTAAATGCGTATGGTCTGCCCAAAATCCATAAGCAAGGTACTCCACTTAGGATTATTGTAAGCAATAGAGGTAGCGTGATGCATAAAACATCACGATTTATATGTGCTCAGTCAAAGCAAATTCCCGAAACTTGGAAGTATTCAGTAAAGAACTCCTACGAATTTATTAAGCTAATTGGAGGCTGGATTAGCCTCGAGTCTAGCTAGGACTGTCATACTTTTCATGACATGAGCATTACAAACACACAATAGACAATAGCACAGGCCCAATCATGATTCAACATTAGGCGATCGTACGCTAGATTTTGTGTAATGAAGCAGCTGCCAATAAATGCGCTTTCGCTTTCCGGAAGCTAACTTCACTCATTTGCAAGCATGTAAAGTAAGGTTGAAATAGTTAACAAAATCGTGGGAGGCTTCATCCAGATCGCGATCTTAAGTGCATAAAAAGCGACTAGGACTGCAGCCGACCACCTTTTATCTTGGTTTAGTATATTTTTGCTCTATTTCGTAATGTATGCAGTCTTGTTCTGATTATGTCTGTCACAGTATAGACGAAGGCTTAATAGAGTTTTATCTGCGTAGCAGTACGGTGAGCCGAATACTTCTTGACACAACTCAACATTCTTCCCTACGCGGCAATCCTCCTTCGGTTTCAGGTGAGACTACATCAAAAATTCATTGTAACCAACTTTCCCTTCAAAATGGAGATTCATGCCACAACTGAAATTCCTGAAGAAGTCAATTAGCGACGTGCGTTAAATAAATCGCAAAGAAAGATTATAAAAATTTATGACATTTCATGTGAATTTTCACTAGCAGATATGGAGGCATTCTTCAGATTAAGATCTTTTATTAAAGGTAGATAGTAAGAAAATAATAACATGCTGACAGTGATACGATTCAATGATAATAAAAATGTCACAAAGCAATACTTAGTCCAAGATATAGACATATAAGCAATTAAATAAAAATGTATGTAAGTAGACTTCCAAGTAGTCTTTTGTTATAGAAAAAATACGTTTGATTCATCGACAATCACACAAAAGAATGTGATATGGGAAAGGGCCTGGCCTTTCTTGAAATTGACATCTGCCCTGTGACCCAAAGGCACTCGTTGCAATGTGGCCGAGTGGTTAGCGTGTCACGCTCACATGCTTCACTGTCACGGCTCGACTCCCGCTGGGGGTGTGGATAAAACCTATGCGAGGTCGAAACTGTAGTCCACCCTGGATGAGAACAACTTTTGGGAAATCAAGACTCTGTGAAACTCAATGGAAACATAAGCTCTACTCATATCATTGTGTGCAAATTCTACTACCAGTCCTTCATCAACTTAAACGAAGTAGAGCGAATACATCTCATATTAATTAAAAACGATTTAGAATTCGCAGGCAAGTTGGTACTTGAGGATTGCATAGGAAACAATGAAAGCCACATTTTATAGCCCAACGATGTACGCTTTAAAAATTTAGTAAAACCAGAATTATATATAAAGGTCATTTTGAACTTTATCAAAGGATACAATCTCAAAGAGTGCATCAAAGTGCGATACAATAAACTTTCGCCGATCGTCAATATAGGCAAAGCTGGCCAAAACAATATGAATTCCGAAAGCAATAACGAACATATGGGAAGTTTGAAATTAAAAAAGGTAAAACTTCAAAAAATGTAGAACTAAAGCTTTATAAGATATATGTATTCACTCTTGGCCTAAAGAAGCCAATCCACTCGATAAATATGAAACACTACCTCTCAATTACAGCAAAAAACCTACTTATAAACACATAATAAGAGCAAATATAGCAGATAAACATTGTCGGAGTGGCAATTAGCAGGGGAAGAGCAAAACCGATTAAAGGTGCATTCAAAATGCCCTTAGATGGATAGAGCGAAATAAGTGCCCGATTAAGCGAATTTATGAGAGGTTGGAAAAAAGGTAAAAGTGAAAAATATAATTCAGATTGGTTTGGGCTTAAATATCACGAGTGCTTTGTTGCCTAATGCCAAGATAAATAGTGTCGAATCAATTATAATTTATAACACCATTTTG